TATATATATAAACATAAATGGACTTAAAAGACACCAGTTATTGGAATGATGTGACAGTGATAGGGTGATATAATGTTGCCTTAATAAATGTATTGCCACCTTTATAGTACCGTAAAAGTTGTTTTCTTACTCTTTGATTTTCAGCACAGTATTCACACACACTGGGTTGCGTATTTCACGCTCCACTTAAACAAAACACTCTTTTGTTTTACTGTTTTGCTACAGCGCCTCCCGTGTTTGTTTGTTTTTTTGCGCGTTTTTTTTTTTGTGTGCGTAAACTGCTTGACCACAGGCTTAGGATTGATTTTTTTCAACCCGTTTACTCCCACTAACAGACTCCTACCATTGGGAAACGTCGTCGTGGTGGACGCGTGCACGATTAATTTTTGCACGTCTCTGCCGATAGTGCGTTACAATAGTTGAAACTGGCTATGGTAGTAAACAATTTCGTAAACTTCATCGCATATCCGCCCGGCTAGCTCAGTCGGTAGAGCATGAGACTCTTAATCTCAGGGTCGTGGGTTCGAGCCCCACGTTGGGCGAAGTGTTTTGTCTGTCATTATTACGTATATGAATTTTTAATGTTGGTCGACGTCGATCGATTCGACAGTGTGCTCCAAGTCGGCTTATTTTTATATATATATATATATATATATATATCTCCCTAACGCCATTTGTAAAACGAGAAACACAACACATAAAAATGCAAATGAGAATGCATGCGCAGAGTAGCTCGTAAAAATGAATTACCCCCTTTCAGTGATACACCTCTGCCAAGAATACACGGTTGACCTCGCACTTTGAAGGAATCTCTCGTCAGTTATTAAATGTTCCCAAGCTATGGCACCGAATGGCACAACAAAAGTCAAACTTTCAGGTTTTTTTTTGTGTGCGTAAACTGCTTGACCACAGGCTTAGGATTGATTTTTTTCAACCCGTTTACTCACCATACAAGACTCCATACCATGGTCAGAGGCACTACGGGACAGCTCGGTCCTCAAGTCTCTGGTCGTGGATGTGACTCTGCTGGCTCTCTTCACCTTGCAACACAGTCTGCTCGCATGGCCGCCTGTCAAACAGGCCTGTCAGTGCATCCTGGGCTCCCTGAACAGGACCGCATACTGCTTCACCACCGCACTGACTCTCCAGGTAGCGCAGCACACGCCAGATGACAACTGGGAGCCTTTGTAGTCATTTTGCAAAGTTCTTCTCTTTCCACTGGTTAGATCCTGATGCATTACTGGCAGCCTGTAACTGGCGCCCCCTGTCTGTGGTCAGTGCGCCAAGCACCTTGGAGTGTCTGGTTCCCTCTGCTCTGCTTCACGGTGCACTTCTTCTGCTGGGCCATCATCTGCACCATCCTCATGATGTTTGACTACCCAGAATTGTTGGGCATTAAGCAGGTAAACTAAGATTAGAATTTATTTTTGAAAATTCAGCTTGATTCATTTTTGCCACGCTATCTCTTCTTGCATAGGTGTATTACCAGTGTTTAGGTCTGGGGGACCCCTTGTCCTACAAGTCGTCCCAAGCTCAACGCTTCCTCTCTCACTTCCGCCATCCGGTGTGCCTGGAGCTAGGCGTTGTGTTGTGGCTCCTGCCGGCTTTATCCCTGGACAGGCTGCTGCTGGCATTAACGTTGTCAGTCTACCTGGCGCTGGCACACCCGCTGGACAAACAGGATTTAGCTTTCGTTTGCGACCATCTTAGCCGCAAGGTGCAGCTCTTTACGGAGCCGTACTGGGTCAAAGGCCCAACCCCCAGCCTGGACAGCAACCACAAGGACAAGTGAAAGTAATCATGCTGCTGTGAGCTGAAGCCAATGTAACACAAAAATGTAACCACTGTCTTAAAACTGACTGGTCTACTGGACTTGGAAGACCCTCCGTGACCTTTTTGCACCTTCTTGATGTATTAGTCAATTTGCGCTTTCACCAAAGGAGGGTCCGGTTCCAAAATGTGAACCATTCTTTTTCTTTTCAGTATTAGTGGATTATTTCATGTTGGTTGGCTAATGGAGGAATGTGCTTAATTGGCTGTCATTAAAAAAAAAAAATTGTAATCTTTTTGTAATTTTTCCTTCAAAACATTGACCCAAATTCAAATTCAACCTTGAATGGTATGATGAAAATAAACGTACTTTGGAACCCACGGATGTGTGTCGTGTACATTGAGCACATTAAGGATCACCGGAACAAATTTGATTTTGTCAGGTTTTCGCATTAAAATAAAATCAACTGCATCAGATACATTTTTAAAGTAGACTACACATCAACTTAAAAATAAAATGAGTCTATTTTTTGCAAAAACTCACAAATAGATATTAACAAAGGAATTGTTTGGTTTCAATCCTGATCTTGATTCTTTCTGCCAGCTACTCCTTCAGCTCTGCCCCACCTCGACCTCCTCCATCCTTGATCTCCTCCAATTAGGCAAAGGGATGAGACGCATGCGTGTGTGTGTGTGTGTGTGTGTGTGTGTGTGTGTGTGTGTGTGTGTGTGTGTGTGTGTGTGTGTGTGTGTGTGTGTGTGTGTGAGAGAGAGAGGTGGGGATGGGGAGGTTAGAGCCCGGGCAGACGGCCGTGCTCTTTAAACGCCTTTCTTAGGTCCCACAATATGGTGCTTGCCACTTAACTCTACTGATGGACTTGAACGTAATTATCGGATTAGCGTCCTGGTGCTTGGGACCAGAAAATATTTACTGCACTCCAATGATGGTGCCGTGCTCTGGCACTTCGTTGGTTCTGAGTGGAACCTAAAAGTACGACTGACAGTTTATTTATTTTTTTGGAGGGGTGGGGGGGTGTCGTTTGTTTTTTGGGTTTTTTTTTTTGTGATTCTGCATAGATGTATTTGTTTGGAGAAGCAAAGTGGATCCAGCAATAGTAGTCTGAAGACAAAGCAAGATTCTTGTAAGTATCTTTCATATGGGAACTAATACAGAAATGTGTTGTTATGGTGACAATTTGACTATGTATGCAGATGGACAGTCAGGTGTTAGGAACCTGTCAAAAAATTTGCCACATGCTTTCATTACACCTACGAGAACATTATGATCACTTGCATAATGTAATAAAAAAAAAAGTGCAAATTAGAAGTGAGCATAATTGTCTTTGGTTGGGCTGATTTTATTTTTTTATTGTTATTTTTTTTACACTTGTGCTAACATCTTGTTAGATTGCTTAAGTGTGACGTCATAGCATTGCGTTTGGTTGGCATAACAGGGAAACGGTACAAACAATTATATTGGAGTGATGATAATTTATTCACTATGATGTTCATAACCGAATGGGTCGCACGTCCGCATCGCAGTTCCGAGTTGCTTGCATAGGTCTTTTCTGTGTACTGCAGCTTCCCCTCCACGACAATTCGCCCAAAACAATCGTGAATGATTGTCAGTATTTGCCCTGCCATTGATTGGCAACCAGGGTTTACCTCACCTCTCGTGTAGACTCAACTGAGGCCTTATGAAGACAAGTGCTCTAGAAAAGAAAAGGATAAATAGATTTATATCCTGTCGACTGTACCTTCGAGGTCAATCTTGATTCCTATTAGTGATTCTGTCTATTTGCCATCATAGCAAGTATGCAAGTTTCAAATGCAGTAACTACCGAAAAAAAAACCCATAGATAAAATAACATACTTCTGTACCACACTGTTAACATAAACAATCTCATATTTATGGTGAAGAAGTGACTTAACTGAATTAAACTTCTCCTTTCTGCATCCCAGTCACAGAGTCCAGGACACGCACCCGTTTCGGCCAAATAAAAAAACCCCAGCCGCTCTTCTTGTTATGTCTGTCTCCTCTCTTCCGGAATGGAAGCAACTCCTGTTGGAGAGAAAGAGGAGAGAGGAAGAGGAGCGGGGAAGGCGAGAAAAAGAAGAGGAGGAGAAGTTTGCCAGCATGCCTGCCTGGAAACGAGGGATCATCCAGCGGAGGAAGGCAAAACAGGAAATCCTGGTTGACCGCGAGAAGGAGAGAGACATCACTGTCCTGCCGGCGGATGCTCAACCTCCCTCGGATGTACTCAGTGATCCAGAGAACGTTGGAACTGTCAGTCAGGCAAATGAACCATCACTCAGTCCAGATCCAAGCCAATGGATGGATGTAGACCTTAAATCAGTCAGTCAGGTCTCTATGGAAACCATAGTTCCGGTCCATGAAAACCCATTTATACGCACGCAGAGTCTGTGGAAGAAGGTCAAGGAAGGGGATGTGGGCTACCCTGAGAGGGGCAATGAGTTGGAGGTAAAAGAGCGGGAAAAGGACAAACTACCCCCCAGGGGTCATGACGGGGAGAGCACAAGAGGAAGAATTATCGAACAGAAAATTGAGAGATTTCGAGATTTGAGTGAAGGACGAGACAAGGAGAGGAGTAGAGACAGGAGTCAAGGGAGAGAGAATAACGAGATTTGGGAAAAAGGCACCTCAGCGAAAGAATTCCCAAAGGAGGAAAATGAAAGAGATCCAGCTAATTCATTTACCCCCCTCGTCCCTTGTCTTCGAACCATCCGTGCGGACAATATCATCATCATCGAACAGAACCGCAGAGGCAGTGATGAGATCAGAACAAAATGGAGGGAGACGGAAGTGGAGCGGCCTGAGGAGGACTTGCAAGGAAAGAGGGGCATGAAGATGGACCTCAGGGAGATCCTGGCAGGGGGAGCAAGCGTGACCGAGATCCGAGCTTCGGATGTTCTGATCATCAAGCCCACGGCGAGCATCGAGGAGCGGTCTGCGGGCGCGGGAGGACTCAAAAACGCTGGGAGAGAGGATGGCGAGATGTGCACCTCGGATGCAAAGCGGGAGCACTTGGCCACGGAACTCAGAAGTGAAATGTCACGGGTGAGGGAAAAAGAGAGCTCCAAAGAAAAAGAAAGATCATGCGGCCAGGCCACGGTGATTAAGGATGACAGAAAGAACAGCTTGGACGACAATGTGTTTTATGAAAGAGGAGGGAGAGTGAGCCAGCTGCTCACTAAATTTGGGGAGTTCCGTAAGCCTCCATCCAGATCGAAAAGCTCAGATAATTTCCTTCGGCCCGGGAGGAGGAAAAATTCAAGGGAAAATGATGACGGGGGGTCATCCGATGGGAGAAACGTGCCGCTCAAAGGTGTGCCAAAACGCTCATTCAGCTTCTCTGATAGGGTCGTCTGTCCAAAGGAAAATGGGTTGGACCCAGATGGGTACTTTGAAAGGAAACCACGTGAGAGGATATTTTCAGACAGGAGTGGGACAGGATTAGGGAAGGAAATACCAGCAAAGTGCAAAATGGGCTGTGTGCGACTCTTCGACAAAGACAAGTTTGGGAATCTTAAGGATGGGCAATTTGGAAACAAAGATCAGACTGATGCAATACAGAAAAAAAGTGAGACGGGGATGGGATTCCAAAACAGAACCGAAGTCAAGAAATTAGACCCCGTTGAAAGGAGGGCGACGGGCACGCCAAGTGAGGAAGATCGAGAAGGTTTTGCAATGGCATCTGTAAAAAGCGCAGAGGGGATTTCGTTTGCTAGAAGGATACCAATAAGGCAAGATGGCAAGGCGCGGATGGCTGAAAAAGAGTCGAGGAGACTCCCGGAGAAAGCTTTTAAATGGGATATCAGTGCAGAGAAAGATTCTGACCCAGGAAGATATTCCGAAGGACAACTTTGCGACAAAATGGATGCATTTGAGAAAATGGAGGCTTTTACCGGCCAATCCGCTGCACAGAGTTGCTGTCGGCTTGAATCAGACCAGGCAGAGGGCTCCGGTCTGCTCAGTACTGTTGCAGACAGAGGGGCGGACTGGGACGTTTTGTCCCATCACACGGAAGAACTTATCAGTAAAATAGAAAAAATTGTGGACGCGCCTGATTACAACAATGACAAAGGTGAAAGATCCTACAGGATCGAGTGCAAGCAAGGGGCACGTCATGAGATGGCTGCTTATGATGCAACCCCCAAATCTCCAAAAGGCATCCCTCCTTTGGGGAACCCTCCAGGACCCCTGGAGATCCAGATCCCTAGGACCGTGTTTTATGTTGCAGAGGAGATGGCGAGAAAGAAGACCACGGGTCAAAGCAAGGAAGGTAAAGACTCCGGAGACGGGCAAGGAGTTGAGAGGAGAGATAGTTGGAGGGTTGGCAAGCCCTTGAGCCGCATCGAATCCCTTCGAGAGAAAATTAGACAAAAAGAGCAGGAGAGGTTAAGTCAGAAGAGGGCGCAGGGCGTGAACGGGGATGAAAATAAATGCATTTCTGATGCACGGACAGAAGGGGACACCTTTGAGGAGAGGGGGACTGAAAAGGAGAAAGGATGGGAATCCATACCTCTTTTGCAGAAGAGGACGACTGCAGCACAGAGTAGTGAAGCAGACACGGCGGTGCAGACATCCGGGTCTGTGTTTGACATCACGCAGGAAGTCGATGTGTTGAAAAACTGCCCTCCGCTTCCTGTTTCTGTCCTCGACTCACCCACTGTTGGTGAAGAGGAAGTACGTAGCGGCTTCGCCAACGATCCCTCGGAAAACTGCGGCCAATTATTCCTTCAAGCAACTGACGATGAGCGTGACACTTTGAAACATGCGGAAGAGCAAGTAACACAACACGGGACCCGACACCATTGCGGGGAAAGAGAACGAGAGGGAAGCGACGCGGAGGACCCCGAGAAGGAAGTCGAGGGATACGCACCATCCATTGAGCCGGCGCAACCTCCCTCACCCTCGCCGCCGCATCCCAACTCCCTCGCAGCGATGAGCCGGATCTACAACTTGGAGACGGTGGGCTCGAGGTCGGGCTTGTGTTTGAGAGAGAGGAATGTGGACGTGTCATCGGTACATCTCATTAAGGTGAAGCCCCTCCTCCCGTCCGATGCACAAAAGGGAGATGGTAAAGTGTTCTCGGGAGAAGATGCCGGTGGGCTGAAGACCATACAACTTCCAATTGAGCAGTTTCGTCTCAAAGAGCAGGAAGTGCTGCAGTCCCAACATGTTGCCTCAACATCAAACACTTCTTGCAAAGAGGCAAAAGGACCCCAAAGCAAAGGATTCAGAAAGCATCAGGCTGAGGAGATGGTCAAAGAAACACCGGAAATGAACCCCAAAGTGTGTCCCCGACGGATTTTTTCGCCAACATCGCTTCTTAAACAACCAAACCCAATTCATACCTCGCAACTCAGAAGCCAATCGCCGGACAAATCGCTGAAGCCCTCCGACTGCGCACCGACTCCAGCCTCCTCGCCGTGTTCTCCATCTCCCGCTGCCTCTCCATCGCCATCGCCGACATTCTTCTCCATTCGCAGTGCCTCGGGGGGTCACGTGAAGAGAGGGGCCACCATTACAATCACCCCCAAAAAACCCACCACAACGGGAAGAACAACCGGATCCATAACGCCGTCCAACCCAGCTGCATGCGCCAATACAAAAATACCCCAGCCGACCCAACAAAACCAGACAACCTCGGCTGCGGCCGAGCCCGCGAAGAAGAAATATCCGTCAGTGGAAGAAATTGAAGTGATTGGCGGATATCAGAACCTGGAGAAGTCATGTCTCGTTAGAAGCAAAGGGACTCCGAAAAGGGTAAGTGTGGAGTACTTGCTATTGCTAAAACGATAGCGCCTCATTCGCTCTGTAACAGTCATGCTGAGGCAGCAAAAAGTCTTCCACAAACCGTTGCCAGAAAGTTGTGAAGAGCCGTAAAATATTTCGGGTAGGAAAAATATCTCAAGGGCAACTGTGTTGTTTGGCCAACATCTACTGTCATTGGTCATGTCACAGATTATGTATTTTATACGTGACCCGAATGGGATCATCAGGATGAATTTGAGACAGGGGGGAAACCACATTTTGCGTCACCTGCCCGTCTTGTCTCTTTTTGTTGAGTGGAATCTCCTTTCACTGGGAGAACATCCCTCTTGATTGAAAGGCCCAACCACAGAGACAGACTTAAGCTGGTTAAAGCCTTATCAAGCACGGCATCATGATTCTTAGCCACCAAACCCCCGCTGGAATCTGCTTTTGCCACTTTGCTCGCTTTGTAATAGTGAACCGTGAACCTATGAAATGACAGCAACGTCGATGATACGAAACCACCAGGAAATTATGTTGATGACCGATAATCCATGTTTTACATGCGGTTTCTAAATAACTCCTGTATGTTTGCCAACTACTCGAACTATCTGAAGACATTTTCTACTCTCCAAATGACATCATATCATACAATACTGTGTTTTAAAATCAACCAGTATTTTATCAGCTCACTCGGCCACTGCATTATTCCTTTCTAAATCCTGCCTTCCAACACGATTAAAACGTAACATGGTCAGCAATCAGCGGGAAACCTAAAGAAGACCCTCCATGCCTGCCCAGTAGCACAGAGTGCCTGGCATGTCGATATTCACGTTTTTTCTTTTGGTTTTTACTATTAAGTTTCAGGCTTCCAAATTAGTTCAATTCAACTCAACTCAACAGGTGTAGCCCACTTCTTGTCTCGTGTGAGCTGAGATAGGCTCCAGCTAACTCATGACTAATGAGAACAAGCGGTACTGAAAATACATAAATACATGTAGTCTGTTGCTTTAGTATGGTTGTGTTTTATTAAAGCTACATTTCATGCTTTACAAAAAAAAAAAAGAAATTGGGGTGAAGCAGTACTAATGTCATTTCAAATGACAGTATCTAATAACATTAGCTATAATATTAGCATTATAGCAACATGCTAACGCTAACTAACAATGTGTTTCATATTGGAAGTAAGTTGCCCAACACCGGTAATGATAGAGTGAACATTTGAAAGGCCACAAAGTTGGGCTCTTCCTCCCTCCTGCCTGTCAAGCAAATTCTTGTTTTCGCAAATTGAAGGTCTTTCAAGTCCATGCGAGGCAACGCTGGTGTTTACCGCAATCGCGCGGTGTTCCACGGTTTGACTTTTGTTCAATCAAATTAAAACCAGTGCATGTCTGGGCAAAAAAAAAAAAAAGAACAACAACAACTTTACAATTAATGGCCCTGTGTGTAGACTTCTTTCGCAGACTTCTTCCTCTTTCCCTTGCACCGATGTTGCTGTTCAGCTATCCTATACAAATCTTTCTTTGTATATTTTTTACCGTTGCAATGGTGTCCTTGAACTGTGCAAAGGAATTCCAGTAGAGGTGCTCGTGTCAAGGAGTTGAAAGCCCGTCATCTCTGTAGCTCGGTGCGTCATTATGAGTTGGAAAATAAAGATGTGAATTGCTAAAACAGAAACGGAGCCTAAGTTCCTCATTCAAACCTCACTTCTCTTTATTATTTTACTGAACTATAGAGAATACTAGACATCTACAAAAAAAAAAAGGTGGGGGCAAGTTTCTATGACCTCAAACAGTAATGCAGATGCACTATGATACGCGTTATTATAAATTGTGCGACAATAGGTCGGGTGCGAGTGCTTAGCATGTCCATAAGTACGACAAGAAAAGTAACTCTAGTCAACACAGAATGAGACAAAATGGCTCCGTATCAGATTATGCCTGTTGCGCCCTTGCCTTTGGGAAAATGGTTGTGTGCACTATAGATTCAATTAATAATTTCACTGAGATACTTTTATTGTCAAACTTTTACTGAGCAAAATGCAGCACACCTATTTTGTGGTCACACCACAAAACAAAACCAAAAAAAAAAAAAAATGGCAACATGTTTTGCCCAAAACTAGCTTAGCTTGTACAGAAAATGGAAGACAAGAACGACGTTGTTTTACTACGAAACAACATTCCTACGTTCTTCCTGTGTTTGCAAATTGCAATCTCTTTAGCTGGTGATAGTAAAGCTACTGTACGTTGTGACTGGCTCACACATGCCTGATGGGCTTTGTATACTTGACTCAGGCTTAACCCCTCTGAACCATGGCGTCAAGTCACAGCAGGGTGTGACGGGTTGGTCCTCTCCGATTCTTGCTTTTTCTCCTCTTCATGCTTCTCACACTCTATCAAAGTCTTTGTTTTACCGACAGGATTTTGAAAATAATATTGCCTTTTGCGAGTGTCGGTTTCAACACTGACCTGACTGTTTCCGTCAAGAGCCTCTGCTGTTTTGGCCAAAGGTTAATAAGGTTGAGGGTGCTGGGATAAGCTCCCTTTGCCTCACTATGATTCGTCCTGCCATGCTAATGCACAGCTATTATCCTTGGGCCCTTGCAGACAGTCTCAGGGGAAGATGGAAAGGTAAACCTGTCTGTCCAAACTCTGCAGTGTGATACCCTGTTGTGATAAAAGTCATTTATTTGTTTGTTTTTTTTTTCCAACTGAGAATACTTGCCTTTTTGAATGTCAAGGATTGCAGCGGTATTGCAGTTTTAGCTCACTTGCATAGAGCAACCATATGCGTTTTTTTTTGGGCAAGTAAAGGAGAATAGGTTAAAAAAAGAAATCTGCGAAAATGGTAAATAAAGAAAGACATGTGCTTTGTTTTTTTCTGTGTTAACAGGGGAAGGTGTGTTTCAATGAGGACCGACTCGAGCAAGTGTGCGAGTATCCTTCCGAGACCTCCATGTTGGTTTCCACCCCCTACCCCCATGAAACTGGGAGGACCGAGACCCCGCAGGGAGAAGAGCCGCAGGATGAAGAAGGGGAAGCGGATGGAGAGGTCATGTCCAAAAGCTCAAGAAATTTGGGCACTGCATTGGGACGGGGTCTAAGAGTGGGTCAGTTTCACCCCCTTCTCAAAAAACATAAGGTGTAATCACAGACTTTTCATTTTTGGGCTTTTAAGAGAGAACCAATATTTGCATCTGTGATTAGCCCAGTTGTGATGTGGAGCTAGCTAGCTATGCCTACACCCGGAAAATGCATCTTCCCTTCCTATAGTCCGCTTGTGCGGCCACTTTAGAGCGCCTCGTTGTCAGCTGTGAGTGTGTGCGTGTCATTGAGAGAAACCCTGAAAAGTCAGGAGGTATGCGGTCAAAGAAATGCTACCTCTGTTTATAAAAATGAAAAGTAGAGTGATATAAAATAAGTGTGATACTATTCTGTGATATACAATGAATATACTATTCTGAAACTGAACATTATTTCCCTCCCATCCCCCTTATCTTTTCCAGATGAGTCGTGCCCTCGGTAGACGCCACTCACCTCACCAAAATGCCCGTGCGAAGCAATCGGGCTTTCGGAGGTTATTGAATGTTTCATTCGATGGTTTGAAATGAGTCATCTCAGTCTGTGTAGTGATGATATACAGTTTGTTTCCTGCTGTGGATAGCAGCGGTTTATATTTAGCTTTATTTTTCAGGGGGACAAATGTGAATGTATGGCACATAATGTCAAGGTCTTAGTTCACCAGCTGCTTTTGGTGCTCTGTGGCAAAAGATCACTTGTCTATGCAAAAAATGAAAATGGTTTTATTCTGTAGTTAATCTATTTGATAGGATTTCAATTTCTGATATGAAGTCAGTCAATCAGTGATGGTTATCTCATCTGAGTGCCTTGTGCCTGCATGATACAGTGAACCCGCACACATGGTATGAAGATCAGTTGACATGTTTTTATTTGTGTCTATTCTGTAAATGAAAAGAAGTGAGTGACTGTTATTTTAATATTTTGTCACATCGAAGTGGCAAAAACTAAGAAAGAAGACAACAGCAGATTTGCGTGAGCGTTTTGCAACTGCTGTCAGATTATTGGCTGTGTATTATTTACACATACAGTATTTAGTACTTTTTGTTTGTAAATGAACATGTTTTGACGGGTGAAACGTGCATAAAGTCTGGACAGAAACTGCACAAATGATTTTTATTTTTTGAAACGGCTTGCTTGAAAAAAAATGGAATAAATATTTAAAACCTTTGTTTCTGTTATTCTTTTTCTTTTGTGTGTGAGTGTGTTTGTGTGTGTGTGTGCGCACGTCTTTGTTGGTGCGCCCTCAAAAACGAAATGCTGCAATCTTCAATGACTTAAGTGAAGGAGTTGAATCAGTAATTCTACTTTTGACAGACTGCTTTAAAACCCGAGTACATGCACTTTCCTGTTTAGAGGGTAAAAACTGTCCATTTTGCGTGTGGAACACGTCATTGTTGTGTTCCTCCTTCTTCCGGCGAAACAGCGACACGTAACGGAGGAACGCGGTACTGCAACTAGTTTTCATATCTCCGTTTACGGAAACCACTTTTGACGTCAACACGTGCGCAGACTTGCCCCGAGAGTTCACTTCGGTACGTGAGGCTTTGCGTGCACACTTCTGAAATCACAACGACGCCGAGGGGGTAGGTCCGGCGTTGTTCTTTCTCTCTGCGTTTTCAACTGGACTCTACTTGATCGATGAAGACTCTATTGCACATCCTCGATGGAGCACGGCTCACTTTTTAATCATCGGAGCCCTCAACGACTGTGCTAAAGGGTGGGGGGCGGATCTGTAGGCCGAGGACTTTTTACATTTTCGCTTCATGTGCTGAATACGTCTGACAGATGCAAAGGCGACTGCGGGCTTGATTTGGAAGAAACATGATTTCCAGCAAAATCCAAGCGGGGGCGTGCAGACTATGGTTCACGCGTGTAAGTATTTATACAGACGCGTATGCAAGTCTTTGTGTGTCTGTGAATGGTGTGTGTTTTTAACCAAGTCGGGACAAATGGGTTTGGCCATTCGTAAATAAAGTTTTGAATGTGAATGCAAACTTTTTTTTAGGGGGGAGGGGTGGGGGATAAATTCACCGCTTAGAATTAATTTGATTCTAATTAAGGGACGAAGCTCAATTTTTTTTAATCAAATATTTTGAGTAAAATAGTAGTTTTTCCTCTTTTACGATCAACCAACTTAACGAGAAATCAAATTTTAAAATAAAAATGAACAGTATTGAATTGTGATTTTTATTTTTATAATAAAATAATTATTTTTATCTTATTAAATGTCAATTTGACTAAATAACCAATTATTTAAAAGAAAAACATATTTTATATTTAAAGCCAATTAATCAAACACGTACAATAAAGAAATATAACATGAATAAATACATCTTAGTTACCCCATTTTTAACCGTAAATGAATGCCACAAATGGAGGTAAGAGGACCGGTCTAAATATAAACATATGGCTTATCCTATCATGTCGTTTGATTGTCATTCAGCCAAGTTTGACGTGCTTTTGTTTTGACGACCTTACTGGGCGTGCACAACAACTACCACAAAGTCATTCAAATATACAAAATGGAACACAGAATGATCAAACAGGAACTAATAAAATTACCATATAAAATTCATATTACAATTAGTTTGACTCAATTGTGAATGGCAGGGGGGAAAAAAACCAACGGTAAAACTTCTCACTTTTCTTTCAGGTGACATCCAGGCAGGAGCTGGGCATGTCCACCTTCGTGCCCCCGCAGCCGGTGCCCCCCCTGAATCAGACCCTGCAGGCCTACATGAGAGCCCTGGAGCCCCTCATACCCCCCGAGGAGCTCGCCCACACCCGCCGAGTGATGCGCGAGTTTGCCAAGCGTGGTGGTCTGGGTGCGGAGCTTCAAAGGGGCTTGGAAAAGAGGGCCAGAAACACAGAGAACTGGGTGCGTGTTTTTCGGCTTGATCTCACTGGGGAAGCGTGACACATGCTGTCGATCGATATGTCGGTAAAGCACGGAGAATGCTGGAATTTGCATATGCCACCGCCGCTACTTCTTAACCCTTTCAGGCACCCTGTAACCTGACAACATGATAAGGTGTCCACTGTAGTGACCGCTGTCCCTCACTATTGGCGCTAAACAAAACAAAGTTGCATCAACCCGTTGCACTTTTTCGATAACGGGTACGCAACGCGATGGTACAAAATGGGACAATTTACAAGGGTTCGAAACAGGTGTGTTTATGTGTATGTTCCCTGTAGATCACAGACTGGTGGGTGCAGTGGGCCTACTTGGAAAGTCGACTGCCGCTGCCCGTGCACTCCAACCCGGCCATATCTCTCCCCAGACGAGATTACAATGGCTGGAGGAGTCAACTCGTGTGAGTAAACACGAACTGCATTCCATGCTGCTTTAGACAACTGAATAAAAAGTAGGTCATAATTGAAGGTAGTCGTCATTTGTAAACTAATCATAAACTATGTTTCCTTTCAGGTTTGCTTCCAAGCTGATTGTAGCGGTACTTGAATTCAAGGCCAAACTTGACGCGTGAGTCCTATCCGTGAAATGAGCAAATGATGCTGCTTTGTGTTTTGAACGGTTTGATGAGCTGACGTTAATTCATATTTCCAACGGTAGTGAACGACACCCGGGCTTGCGGTAATCCTCTAATCGACCCGTAATCTGTCGCATTGCTATTTGTGTGCGCTGACCTTCGGCCCTGCTGGCACGGCCTTGTATGTATTCCTTTGCTGTATGAAGTTATTCTGTCTAAATATACGTGCCCGCGCTCTTTTGTAATAGTATCCCCTGCCGCAAATACCTTTGTTTTGAAAAGCTCGGCGGGAATATGAGCTCTTTGTTTTAGGAAAACAAGTCATTTGGGGACATGTTACTTTGGTCAACCCAGCTCACATCGTATGCAAACGTGAACGCTTATACACTCTCAGCCTGGGGATAAAGCCATTGTGTAGCGATGTGCATAATATTTCAATACTGGTAATTTATTAGGAGCTGTTGATTGATTAGCGTCTTGAAGCAATTCGGGTAAAATAGTGCACTCCAGTGCACTATTTGGCTGCATAACAATACCCTCTATTAAAACGAATTGTTTTTGTTTGAAATGTGATCGTGTATGAAACCAAATGTTTGCTTTCTCAAATACGTTAACGGGAACACAAGGAATGGTGTTTGGCATCTAATGTCACTTCAATGTTTAGAATGAGTTGCTTATTCATTTCTAAAAACAACTTCATTGATATGATATACTTAATGGAAAAAGAAAAACTTTGGAGAGTGATTATCGTAACGAACCCAGTGATAAAATGCGATTTGTGTTTGTGTCTTAAGTGGCCGGCTGCCCTTGGAGTACATGCGAGGCAGGCCTCTGTGCATGGAGCTCTATCCGCTGCTCTTCTCTTCCTGTCGCATCCCGGGGCCCAAACACGATTACGTCGCTCACTACGGCACCTCCCGACGATCGCCAACGCACATCACTGTGGTCAGGAACTACCAGGTCAGCAAAGCTGAGCTAACTATTTCCTGCTGAGTTATGCCACATAACGCTGTTATGCAGAATAAATATTGAAAAGTCGCTACAAATGCAAGACGCCTTCAGCTCGTAAATAATAATGTCGTAAAAATGCAAACTTTTGCCGTCTAGTTTTTCCAGCTGGAGTTGTACAACAGCGACGGGTCCCGTCTGACCGAGAGCCAGATTCACGGGCAGCTGCTGAGGATCAGGTCTCAGTCCTGGAAGACGGACAAGGAGCCGATGGGCATCCTGACCAGCGAGCATCGCCATACATGGGGCCAGGCGTACAACCGCCTGCAGAGAGGTAGAAAATATGACTGGGCAGACCTTGTAGGATGCCACCAAATTTTGCCATGCAACTTTTTTGCACTTGTAGGGCTTTTTTTTTTCCATTTTCCCCATTTCATCAGTTATCGATGTGCAATACAAACCGTCGTGAAAACGAATGGACGATGACAATGAATTTTAAATTGTGAAATGGTGAGAAGTGAAGTTATGGAGACGGTACCAAACATGAAGCTATCCTGCACAATTTCAATAAGCTAAATTTCTGATTTTTTTTTTTGATTTTTTTTTTTTTTGGGACTCCCTATTTAACTCCATCTTATCTACTTGCCTCTTTGTCCTCTGCGCCTTTTTATACTCTTGTTTCACCCCAGATAAACTGAACCGGGAATCAGTGCAGGCCATCGAGAGAGGACTTTTCTCGCTATGTCTGGATTCTCCGGTTATGAGGATATCGGATGAAAAGTATGTCCACATACACACACGCTAAGTGGTAGATTGCTGAACAGACTCCCAATTCCCTCCCCCCAAGAAACCGAACACCCAGATGCTTATGCGTCTGGTGTTTACCACCATGGCAACATGCAGTATGCCATCATTAGCGATGGAAAGACTGCCTGAAATAACATTCTGCAAGCACTTTGAATATCGTTTGAAGGAATATCCATTCAAGAAGCCGGGAAATTTTTGATTGACAGATACGCTAGCCGCAAAGCGGCCCAGGTCCTGCACGGAGGCGGGACCTTCTCCAACAGTGGCAACCGTTGGTTTGACAAAACTCTACAGGTGAGTGGCCAAGCGGCTCATCTTCGCCAAAGCCAAACGTTGAAAGCATCGCTGCTTTGTTGACTTTGTGCAGTTTGTAATCGGCGAGGATGGCTCCTGGGGTCTCCTGTATGAACAAGCCACAGCTGAAGGTCCGCCAATTGCGACCTTGCTGGATTATATTCTTCACAACTGGTATTGAAGCTGTGTTCTCCTAACATATTTTTTTAGCTTGATCATTTCTTTGTCAAAATAATAATTATTACTGATGCTGTATGGACAGCTTAAATGATATCTAAGAGCAATCGCTTATTTTGCTTTCTGCAGTGAGAATCCGGATCCAACGAGAGCACCACTGGTCCCTCTTCCAATGCCGAAGAAGCTTTACTTCCATATAGACAGAGAAATCAAGCGAGACATCGAGAACGCTAAGCAGAACCTTGATATGTGAGTTGCATCACTCGGTTAACAGTTTTAAGTGTTTGCTGCCGATGATGATAAGAAAACTTGTCTCACTGCGCATTGCCAACCAGATCTTTTGTTTTGAAATCCAAAGTGACGGCCGCAAGAGTAGATACGTTTATCGTCTTCCAACTGAAAATGAAAGCTTGACAAAAAGAGAGCTCTCTTTGGCCCAGTTTTTTTTTCGCCCTCACGAGCCCTTTGAGACAAATAGCTAACATGTTTACATTTTTTTTTTTTTTGGTTAAAGTTAAATCACTGCTAATTTATAAAAATTCCTTTTGCAAAAAAAAAAATATCGCTCCAGACTGATCAACGACCTGGATGTGAACGTTTTCAACTTCACGAAGTTTGGCAAAGACCTTCCCAAGCAGCACAAACTGAGTCCCAACTCCTTCATCCAGGTGGCGCTGCAGCTGGCGTACTACAGGTAAAGGAATCGATATTTGAAAAACATTTGCGGACAATTCGGCTGTAAGCCTCTTCAAACTACAGACACGAAAAACGTTTTTCATGAATACCGAATAGACAGTGGAAAGGATCAGCTTGTGCTGGTTTTACAGCTCACGTAGCCTTGACACTTTTCCTCTATTACGGTTAAATCATCAGCAAGAAAAAGTTAAAAGACTGAAAAATAAAGTACATCAGCAGTTTGGTATTCGGAGATGTTTCCCCGGTTTGTGTAGAGTTCATGGCGACGTGTGCGCCACCTGCGACATCGCCTCTCAGAGGATGTTTCGGAAAGGAAGGACCGATTACATCCGTTCACCTTCGAGCCAGATGCTGAAATTCATCCTCGCCTTCGTCGATCCGTCCGTGTCGGTGAGCAAACGGGGCGTGTTTCATTTCAAACGCTTCTCTTGTGGGAAAACTGTTCGGATTGTCATGAGGGCATTTTTCGCTTCTTTTGTCTTGCGCTGCAGCGTGAAGCCAAGCTCCAGCTGTTGACAGAAGCTATTGACGCCTACTCTGCTCTGACGAACCAGGTAACCAAGCTATTGAAAAATAGTCAATCAATGATAATTCTAATACAGTGGTACACTGACGTACAAGTGGCCTAATTTATGGGGTTTGGAGCCATTATTATTATTTATGAATGCCATACCACATTCGCCAATCCACTTTAAGTGAGTCATTGGTCAGGTAAAATGGTCAAACACACAAAATGAGAACACTCACATCAACTGACTTAAGTTACGAGCTTGGGCACGGACCAAATTCGACCTTTAGGTCAAGGTTGCACTTCTGCATCTGTGACTTGCAAAATTTCCCTACTTGGACTCTATTGCAGGTACTTAAAGGACACGGCATTGACCGCCACCTGCTGGGGCTCAAGTTACAGGCCATCGAAGAAGGACTGAGCGTGCCCAAAATCTTCATGGATACTGCCTATGGTCTGGCTACTCATTGGAAACTCCGAACGGGGCAGGTGCGGACATGTTTGTCAAAGTATTTTTGATTGCTTGCCATGCGGTTGACAAGTAACCAGTCCAGAGTATATCTCGGCTGCTACAGTACATTGCTAGCATGACTTATCCAAGTTATCGGGTTGTTAATGTATTTTGGGGGAATGTACAATCATTTAAGGCATAGGAGGTGATAAACTTATGATGACGCGATGGTCACGGTCACTGTCTTTTCCCCCTTAGGTGCCCGCAAACACAGACAGCGTGATGTGTTTCGGTCCCCTGGTCCCTGATGGTTACGCCATATGTTACAACCCACAGTCTGACCACGTCCACTTTTCGATAACTGCCTTCAACTGCTGCGAGGAGACAAATGCAGAAACGCTGGGCGTCGCCGTGAGGGAGACGCTATGCCAACTGCACGAGCTACTGGAGCCTACTGTGTAGAGCTGCGGCAGACTAAGAGCATTCCAGTTTTCACTCCTCTTCATTCATACAGCAAACTTACAAAAGTGTTTATGAAGGGCTATTGTAGATTTTTTATTTGTGTATTTTTCACCTTCACAGGTGGACACATTTCACTTTACGCGAAAAGAAATCATGTCGACACTTCAGCATTAATTACCGCTATAGCGTTTGTATATACAGGAAGATTCGCTGTAACCACCGTCAATACAGATTTTGTAGGTCATTTGGTGTGGTTGTGAAGGACCAAAATTTGGAAAAGACATGTTGATGGTAACAAATGGTGCTGTTCCTTGAATTATACTAGTGTGGCCCACTGTGTTGGGCATGTTTGTGCACACCTTGCTTATTTGGTTAATAAAGCTCAAGTTATTGCTCATTATTGAGGTGATCGTCGTTTGACCCACAGTCCCTGTTGTAGTTCATCAAAGTATTTGATGGGAGTTTGGTCAGGGCTCTCAAATTCGTCTAGACCAAACTTCCAAGTTTTACAAACTCATCCAACTCAAAGTTCTGAACAGTATTCACAGCAGACGACTAAGACGTTGAGGGTATGATGTAGTAATCGCCATGCCACAATTGTGATCGATCATCTGATCTATCCGTTTCTTGACAAGCTGTACTGCGAATGATTACTCCATTAAAACATCAACCAGTAAAACAAAGCGTTTACGACAAATTACATGACAGTTTGTGTACTAAGTAGTTAAACCACAACATCTTTCGATTAAAAGCTTTAAAGCTCTTAAAACGCGAGGACTTCCGCCCCGGATCCAAACAGGAAGTGACGTTTTAGCGTAACGTGACGTGTGAATTTAGACCGGAACAAATAAACAACATTTCGTGCTCGCTGGGCTGCAGCCTCGCGGCGTTGTTTACCACCGAATCATCGAACTGTAAATTTTGAAGGGATTTTTATTTATTACATCATATGTCGGTTGAAAAAAAACTACGTGGAAGTCCCGTCGTACTTCTCAGGGCTGAGGGAGCCGGGAATGGAGCGAATTTCAACTTTTATGATGATGATTGTTTTTATTATTTTTTAAGCCCTCTCAATTTTAATAGCGCACGGATTTATTCCGACCATTTATTGATATGATGAAAGGATTTGTGACCGATTCGATAATCGGGAAAAGGGAAAGTAACGGCGGGGCAGCCCGCCTCCTGTGGCCGCTGCTCGGTGCGTGTCTGTGGGCTGCCGCGGTCGCCTTCAAGCCGGTGATCATCGTGCACGGCTTGTTCGACAGCTCGGGAGATTTTAAGAACCTCCAGCGCTTCATTAACGAGGTGGGTTCTTAAAATGTAATTAACCGATGATGGTTGGCTTATTATGGTTGTCAGCAATCACCATCTCGATGGGATCAAGAAACTATTCCGAGAGGAACCCATCGCTGTTAAAACCTGTGTGCTGCATGCATGCAAACTTCAAATGCCTTGTGGTACAATAATCGATTATGAAATTAATTAAGATTTTTTATGTCAGAGTCAAATAATGCTTCGGACCCGGTTTAGTTTAAAATTGTCCAAATCCTTTGAACGGTGATTTATGTAGTCCTCCGTGAAAGCAGACTGATTATCTTTGTGTTGAATCAAAACATTTGCAAGTACCTGTACCGTATCTGCTTTTCTTTCTTTTTTTTTTTTTTTTTGCGCATATTTTCTGACAGGTTTTGGGCCCAAACTAACCGAATCATAAATAATTTGTGTTTGTGCATTTTCTGTTTTGAGATAATGTCCTGTTTGTGTTGTCCGTTTAATTGGTTTTTGTTTGTTTGTTTGGTTTTTTTTTTATGGCCAGATTAATCGATTCTTAAAATAATATTCCGAGAGGAACCCATCGCTGTTAAAACCTGTATGCCGCATGCATGCAAACTTCAAATGCCTTGTGATACAATAATCGATTATCAAATTAATTAATATTTTTTATGTCAGAGTCAAATAATCCTTCAGACCTGGTTTAGTTTAAAATTGTCCAAATCCTCTGAACGGTGATTTATGTAGTCCTCCATGAAAGCAGACTGATTATCTTTGTGTTGAATCAAAACATTTGCAAGTACCTGTTACCGTATCTGCTTTTCTTTCTTTTTTTTTTGTGCATATTTTCTGACAGGTTTTGGACCCAAACTAACCGAATCATAAATAATTTGTGTTTGCGCATTTTCTGTTTTGAGATAATGTCCTGTTTGTGTTGTCTGTTTAATTGGTTTTTGTTTGTTTGTTTTTTTATGGCCAGATTAATCGATTCTTAAAATAATCTTTAGTTGCAGCCCTCTATGCCCTCTTGTTAAAAACATTTTGTCCTTTCCTCTTTTTTCAGTCTCATCCTGGAACAAATGTGACCGTGATTGACTTGTTTGACCGAGGTTCCAGCCTGCAGCCCATGTGGAAGCAGGTGGAGGGTTTCAAGGCGGCCATTTATCCCATCATGCAAAACTCTGCGGAGGGAGTCCATTTTATCTGCTACTCTCAGGGTGTGTGTGTGTGTGTGTGTGTGCGCGTCTGTACAGTATGTGCTAGTCACACATTTACTATTTATTTTAGATGATAAAAGTGGCCGTGGCATGTTCAGTAGTTACGGTATCATTTCTGCAAAAGCTGACCTCTGAAAGACACTGCTAGCTGAAAGTGTTCATTTCCAAATTGGCTGCCAGTCGGAAAAGCAAGCGTTTGTTTCCATTTAACCACAGGCTGGAATTTCCCACGAAGTCCACATTGACATTTTCTAAAAGGGAAGCTTATCAGGTTTTTACCTCGTGCGCTCTTGTTTTAGTTATATTTTTTCCTTACCGTGTTATGATAAACTAAAAAGCAGCATGTTTAAAGGCAACATGCCTTTTTTTCTGTTATTCACTTGTATTTTGTTTAAACGTCATCGTTGTCAGCTGCAACTCTTACAAAATACAGCAGTCAGACAATAATATTCAGAGGCATATATTCTTTATCCTCTCCAAAAAAAACTGGTTCTGCAGCTTTCTGAGGAGTTGTAGCAGTCTTTAACATGTATCTGTTGTTTGTTTTTTTCACATTGATGCCATTTTCGTGTGTCTGGCTTCCATTCCTTAAAAGTATGTCAAAGCCTGAGGCACCAATATTGTTGATGTTGTTTCAGGTGGACTGATTTGCAGGGGGATATTGTCCACTTTGCCAAATCACAACGTACATTCATTCATTTCGCTGTCCTCGCCTCAGGCCGGACAATA